AGGCCTCCCACGATCTGCTTAATGTAGGCCCAATGCTTAGGCCCAATGCTTAGGGTCTCTGACACGCGCTCGGGTGGCCGGTTGGACACCCTTTGCTCGGGTGGGCGGCCAATCTGACCCCCGAGGTCCCAGGAACTGAAAGAGCTAGAGACACTCAATTCATAGGATGCGTTGGCCTGTACATGAACTCATTTAGGTCAAACTTTCAGGTCCCTAGGTCATGGCCTTCGGGCCAAATAAGGTCAAGAAGGTCAAATTCCATGGTGGTCCTTAAAGTGACCTCAGAACCTAGATAACGAAATTCAATTAGATAACTAGATAAAGAAATTCAAACAAAAAAGTCACATGCTCATTTAATGTCACCGACCTTGCTTGACCTCTTGAGGGTCATGGTGACCCAAATCATACAAAACTTCTTTGAGTTTTGAATTTGAATTAGCGACAAAGCATGCTCTTGGGAGTATGGTCCTAAAAACAAAATTATGACGTGGGTAATTTAAGGTCAGTGACATATTGTGACATTTAAGAAGTCCATGGAAGATGTACGATGTGGGTCTTGTTACCACTTTATTTGAAATGAGCACCAGCTGCTGCCCGATACAACAAATCTTAAGTAATAAAGCAGGTTGGCTTTGACCTTCGTCTGGCCTTAATACCTGACCCAAGGTCAATGAAATTGGTTTATTTAATTGTTGTGTTGCATGATTAAGTATCTCAGAGATGTATGGCTTTGTCTGGTACTCCGTTGTTGTATCAGAATGAACGATTCCCTAGAAATTGTCCTCGCTGAGCCCGTGGCCTGATTTGGACCTGTCGTAGGTAAGTGACCTTACAAGGTACACCCAAATGTTTGATGTCAAACGGTACGCTATTCAATTGTCTACAGCTATGCAAAATGCGGCATGGCTACGCCGAGCCGTTCGGAAACCGCCCCGGAAAAAAACCTTCGGAGTTCAATTTGACCCCCCTCCGAGCGCGTGTTAATCCAATATCTTTAAAATGGTGACCGCCAACCAAAACGACTCTTATCTAAACCAAGCCAATTCCTCATTATGTCTTGCACGTTGATGTATGTCAGGTCCTGCCTCGAAATTGATCTGGAGCATTTTAGGGGTGCACTGTGTTGCGCCAAGTCCATTCGCATTGCAGGCAAATCTATGTTTGTTTTATTTGCATGTGAAACCTGCGTCGTGAGCAGAAGCATCAGGGTGAATGAACCATGGCATAGGATGGGGTGGGTTGGTCTGGTCGTGTGAAATGAACCATGGCATGGGCAGTTGCTGACGTCAAAAAGATGGACTGTCGGCTGTCGCTGCGTGTTGTTCGGCTGTTTTTATTGCTGGATCACCCGCCCATTAGCAATTATAATGTGTATCTGTGTGACGTTTTTAGTTCTGTGTGCTACTGCGACAAATAGCCGCGCGCCTTACATCCCAGCCGCACCAGAAACTCCAATATTGCTGTGGATTGAACCGGGCGACGGCGGCGCGCCGCTGACGGCGGTAGCATGCTGCTGGAGGCGGAGGTGTGCTGCCGCCGACGACGGTAGTGCGCCACCGACGGCCACTTTCGTGTTGGCAACGAATGTTCCCACGCTACCTGCCAACAAGGCTGACGTTCACCCGCAGAATCAACATGCTCACCGTTTGGATCCTTTGAACAAGTTGCAATCTGCCTGACCACAGATTGTTAAGCTGTGGTGCAAGGATAAGCGAGCTTTGATCTGGCGGTTGAAGTAAAAGAAGCTGAAAACGAATCTGTGTTTACCGAGCTAGGTAGGTCCAAATGAGTTTTGCACGTAAACAGTATTTCTTTTCATTCGTGGCATGATCACACGACGCATGTGTGGTTGCCTGAATCTAGCCCATGTTTTGATTTTAATATAAACATGCAACAAGGCATGATCAAAGCATGCGACAAAATCACCCTCGCGCGTCCGAGACGCCGCCGACGTCAGTTTTCACCGCCAAACCAATTTGTTGCAGCGACCAGAAATTCTAGACGTATTCAGGTAAGTGTTGCCTAGGTGCTCTTATAGCCAGCACATAGTTGAAAAGATAGAAAGGCTATCTTTGGCTCACTCAAAATGAGCATGTATTTTACGTAGGTACTTGTACATCAATAGCCAGCTCTGCCACGCGCAACTCCGATGGCATTGCAGCATAGCTTGCTGAAGAAAAGCTGTGAATAGGTGAGCCTTCTGGAGAAAACAATATCAGTAACATTTAGTGGCATTGGGGTATGCTTTAATACTTTTAAGCAAGAGCGAAAGGCCGTCGAGAGGTCGAGAGATCCCTAAGGTTTCACGCGTTGACGACATAAGTTCATCAGTCGCTTTCCAATATCACTGCAAGTGTGAGACCATCGATCAGACCAATGTCCTCATCCAGAAGAAAGCAAGCGGCTCTCAACAACATGGATTGTTCGACAGTCAGGGATTGATGCTCAATCCCACATAAATGACATGAAATCACACAAACAGCTCTAGCTATGGTACCACGTCAGCTGTCGTATCGCAGCTGCGGGCGTAACACAGAAGCCGTATCATCGCACCAGGTCTTGCCCAGAAGAGCACGTCGCACCATGTCGCAAGCGTGAGAATCTTTGCTTCCGGTCAACAACATCAGTAGCTGCAAAGCGGTGACATTAGCTGGTAGTGTACCCACACAATACACAGCACTGCCGAAGTCAATACATGTTAAGCACAACCGTTCAGATCACATTTATCAAACCCATATAGCCGCCGGCGGCGTCTGTCGGACGAGCGGCACGACAGCTCATAGTACTATCGACTCGATTGTTGAGCATGCACCAGAGCGACATCCACCGCGACACGCATGGTAGGTGTAAGACAATGAAGCTGTCCTCGCATTAGGCCGGCCTTTGACTAAAGCTTCACTCAATATTGGGGCGTACGGTACTGAATCGTTGTCTTCGAGCCTCGATTACTGTGAATCGTTTCATTCGTTTTGCCTCAGCGAACGGATTCCGAATATTTCATCCTAAGTTCAAATTCACCCCTAGTCCAATCCTGGGCAGCCCCAGACAAACCTGTCACAAGGTGCATCCAGTTTACTGCAACATGTGTATCAAAGATAAGGTCGCCTGTTGTTGTGATGCTTATTACGTAAATAAGACGCCTATTCAATCGACTGAATTCCATTACGTGTACATTTAACACTCCGAGCCGTAACCTGTAATGATAAGTGCCGCCCAGACTGCCCAGGACTGGATCAATCTACCGTCTGAATGGAATTGGAATCGGAATTGTACCATCCGATGCTTCGTGTGTATGGGTTTGCGGAACTACTTTATACCTTCGTGCTTTTTGTGCGGTATGAAACATATATATTCTGCCGGCAAGAGGGCTACATTCGGAATCATCACCTTTTTGAGACGCGTCAAACGTGGTCCAGTAACCAAGGTTTCAAGAACAAGGTCAAAAAGGTCATCACACTCATCGTGCGCTATGCCAAACGGTACACTGGAAATGATCTACCAAAAAGGCATGCTAGAAAATGGCGATGACGAGAAAGCTTCCGTACACTCGGCCCGTGCGATGACATTAATCTGACATAAATGAAACAGCGCTGATCCCAGATAAGCACCAGCAGACCGCGACAAAGATCGTTGAACCGGAGCCGACATCTCTCGACGCGACTCGGCTCCCTGTCGGCGAGCGCCGCTTACGTTGCGTTGTCTCTTCTCGCTTGGTTGGCCATGCCTCCCTGGATGGACGCGTCTGTCGTACGCTTTCCTGGAGGGCACCGAGCGACCATCCGTTTTTAAGAACAATCGCAATATTTGTCGGAAGCAAATGTTCCGGTAAATGACTCTGTGAAGGCAGGGACAACTTTGCGCCAGAAATTTCCAACATTTTACGGCGACGTGGAGGGATCTAATCGCGTCGTTATTTTGCTGTTTCCATCCTAATTGACCAAAGTTTTACATCACCTATGCCGATACAACACCACACCTACGCCTGTAGCCAAAAGATGTGCACCACTGCGACCAGCGCCTGGATGTCCTTATCTCCCGTTTTCTAAGTGAGCATTGGCGTTTCTATCAGACGAAATCTGCCGGAAGATGGAGTGCCTGCAGCCCGATAACTCAGGTCGATCGCGCTTCGCAGCACCGGCTTTTAATCCCGCACCAGCAGTGCGGCAATGCAGCTCGGTTGCTTCCGGTCTGGCTGTGGACGAGACGCATCTGCTATCCTGCTGCTGCAGACACGAGATTGGACGCTGTTACGACACGAGACACGACACACGGAAGTGACACCCACTGTCCGATTGGACACGGGATGCGCCTGCTGTCCGATCCTGCTGCGTAGACGCGCCACCCGCGGCCAGGTAGGAGCGTCACAGCCCGATCGCCCTATGCGTCCTGCGAGCTGACGACGGCGGCCTTTCAGGGATGCGGAGCCTCGCAGCTTTGAAGCCGGTGGATGATAGTCCCGGGATGCGCGCACGCTCTCCACTCCAGCTTGACCTCGTCAGACTCGAGCGTCGGTGAAGAGGGCTTATCGTGTCCAACTGGCATGCGAGGCACGCAGTGTGGTCAGTGGTCGGTGCAGCGAGTCCGCGCAGCATTCGCTGAACGGCGGCAGCAGCCTCAGCAACTTCACAACTGTCCAGAAGAGACCAGACCGGACATTTGACAGCCCATATGACTAGAACTCCGCTTTGAGTAGGCCATATGACTAGAACTCCGCTCTGAGCAGGCCATATGACTAGAACACCGTTCTGAGAGCTCCGCTTTTTCAGCACCGTCCGTCCACTGGCTCACGTGTCACCCAATTGAGCAGTTCGCCCGCGTTCCACGCCACTCGCCTGCTGGCCGAGCGTCCACCGCCTCCGCCGTCTACCACCCAGCCCCCCTGCCCCCCCCCCCCCCCCCCCACCAGCCCCCAGTTGGCCCGCTAGCAGTCCACCGCCTCCGCCGTCTACCGCCGCCCCCCCCCCCCCCCCCCCCCCCCCCATCAGCCCCCAGTTGGCCCGCTAGCAGTCCACCGGCTCTGCCGGCGACCGACTCGCTTTGAAGACGCGCAGTGGGATGATGGCCTCGTCGGTGCGCCGGAGCGTGGAGAGTCGCGACGAGGACGTGGTGGAGCGGCTGAAGCGGTAGCGGTAGGAGAGGATCGGGATCAGCGTCTGCGTGCGTCCCAGCTCCTCCATCGAGCCGCGCTGGCAGCGCAGCAGCGCGCGCAGGCGCCGCAGCGCCTGCTTGATCTCCGGCATGCGGGCCGCGTAGATGACCGGGTCCACCAGACATTTGAGGATGACCAACGTGTTGAAGAGGATGTTGAGTGCCAGGAAGGCGCGCGGGTTGAGATCGGCGCCGTTGAAGTGACAGTCCTTGCAGATGAGCATGAAGGTCAGTAGGGCTGGCATCCAGCCGAGCACGTACGTGCCCAGGATGCACAGCGTTGTTACGATCGCCTTCACGTTCTTGTTGAGCTGCGACGCGTTGTGGTTGCGGAGCACGCCCCTCTGGTGCTGGCGCACGATAACGAACATGTGCGAGTAAGCGAAGACCATGCAGATCAGCGGGATGAAGAACAGCGTCGCCACGACGCGCCGGAACGTGCTGAAGTCCATGAAGGCTGATGAGCAGCCGGTCGGCGCGAACGCGTCCATGGCTGCGAAGCAGACAAAGAAGAAGACAATGGGCACGATCCAGAGGAAGACGACGACGGTGAGGACGCGGCTGCGGGTGATGAGCCGTGCGTAGTGGAGCGGCCGCAGGATGCCCACGTAGTGGTTGAGCGCCAGCGCCAGCAGGTGCGCCGCCGTCGAGATGACGCCGCCCAGTCGGAGCGCCTCGAACGCCAGCTGAGGTGCAGACACTCCACGTCGGGTGCTGCAGACCCACCGGCAGCAGACTGTTGAACAGCAGGCCCAGGCCGAGCGAGGAGGCGGCGTACGCGTCGGCGCCGGCCAGGCTGATGGAGAAGCACATGGTGGGCGTGAGCGGCTGCCGGACCAGCCGTGAAGTCAGGCAGATGGTCAGGTTTGTCACGGCCGCCACCACGCAGAAGAACAGCATGATGGGCACCCAGATCAGGTAGATGGCGCGCCGCTCGTCCTCCCACTGCGACGGCTCCTGCAGGTTCAGCAGCACCTCGACAGTGGAGTTGATCGCGCTGAAGTTCACCGTAGCCGGGTCCTCGCCCGGTTCTGGCTGGGCTTCTCCCTGCGTCGCCATTGATCTGGAACACAGAGGGCTGCTGTTTGCGTTCCACACGGCAAGAGTGTGAGATGTGGGTGCATTCTTTTGGCGTCTTCGAAACGGGTAGTATGTAGCCCAGAGATCAAATGAGGCACTTCTCAATGTGAGCACACTCATATGCGGATATTCAAATGTGCAGGCATGCACAATGGCGTGCATGCACAAATGCGTGTGCTATTTGCGTCCCGATAAAAACGGAAGAAATGAATGCATGGGAACCATGAGAATAACCATCAAAATTTCAAAACAAGCATATTTTCCGCATCGACACTGAAAGAGTGTGTGTGTGTGAGGGGGGACACATAGACACGCAGCAAAACGTAAGCGTAGTTGGCATTTTACATACATCAAAACTCGCCGGTGCGGCGGATGAGCCCGGGTTTATGAAAAAACGCAGCATTACCAGTCGTGTGCTGTAATGATAAGTCGTCTATTCATTCACATGGTTTGAAGAGCCGTCCACGAAAGATATGGTATGGGTATTCCTGTGATACTTGGCCAACAAAACTTTGGGCGAAAACAACACAAGAAAGAGGCATGTGATACGCAAAAAGTGCAGGACACCAAAAGCAACAAAACAGTGTATATGATTGTAACAAAAAGCCTAAGAAGGAAATCATGGCAGCCAAAAGATTATCAACAATGTGGCATTTGCTCTGGCGACTGTCCAGATTTTTTTATCTACCACAAATTCAAATCTAAGGAATCTTCTGCCGCCCCCTCCCCCCCCCCCCTCCCCCCGAGGAAGATGGAAAGCTTTTAATGGAGGACAGGGGCATAGTAGATGCTCTTAAAAGGCTGTTTCCTTCGGTTTTACAAAGTAAGACTATATGTGACGTCTCTTAAAATAGGCTAAAATAAGGCTGAAGGCAGTCTTGTAGATCTAACGGTGACTAAGGGTATGGTGTGGGATAGATTGAACAAAATCAAGGTTAATAAGGCAATCGGACCCGACAATCTGGTAGAGTCCCATCCCCGACCATACGGTGGAGTGTTAATGAATGCGCTGGTGCTTTAGTCTACTTCTCTTATCTTAACGTTTGATAGATCATCGAGTCTTTTCAGAAATACCCGAGGACTGGAACAATGCCCCTGACCCGCTACACATCGCATGTGGGAAGTGTTGATTCAAGGGTTCTTTTGAAGAAGAGTAGGGAAAGTTCATTCCGTTTAGCAAAATTCGAGAAATAGCTGAAGGAAGCCCCATGGCTCACACAGACAGTGCGCAATTTGATGACAGTGAAAAAGGCGGCGTATGATTGGCAAAAAGTACCGGGCACAGAAAGCAGCACGGCAGCGCATAGGATTGTTACAAAAAGCTTAAGAAGGAAATCAGGGTAGCCCAAAAATTATCAGAAATACGGCAATCAGACATTTGCTTTGGCTTAAACTTAAGTAAACTTCTAGCTACTAGATATTCAAATTTAAGGTATCCCCTTTCGGCCCCTTCGATGAAGATGGAAATTATTTGCTGGAGGACAGGAGCATTGTAGATGCTTCTAGTAGGCCGTTTTCCTCAGTTTATATAAAGGAGGCGATGTGTGGGCTCCCTGAAAATAGGCAAAAAACAGACTGAAGGCAGTCTTGTAGATTTGACGGTGACCGAGGCTATACGGTATTGGATATGTTATGGTAAGGGATAGCTTAAAGGGAATCAAGGTTAATAAGGCGGCCGGACCTGACCACATATATGGCACAGTGTTGAATAAATGCGCTAGCACCTAAACTTATTCTCTCATATTAGTATTTAATAGATCATTGAGCTTATTCAGAAATACCTGAGGACTGGCGCAACGCCAGTGTAGAACCGATTTTTAAGTACGGGACCAAAAAAGTGCTTAACTACAGGCCTGTGAGTCTTACCTTACTAGCATGTAAATTAGAGGAATTCATGAAGGCTAGCATTCAGCCACACTTAGAAAGACATCAATTCATAAATAGTAGTCAGCACGGTATTATTTCTGGTGGGTCCTGTCTGGCGAATCTTCTAGAGTTGTTAGAGCATGTTACTAGTCCGATAGATAAAGGCAGCAGTTAACATGCTGCCTATTTGGATTTTGGTAAGGCGTTTGGTAAGGTGCCACACCATCGTCTGCTATATCAGTTCAAATTGCAAGCATTGAGGGAAAAATTCTTGGCTGGGTAAGTGCTTGGCTGTTAGCCAGGAAACAAAGAGTAGTGCTCAATGGTACATAATCTCAGTCGGAGCTAGTAGAGAGTGGAGCTCCACAGGGGTCGGTGTTGGGCCCTTTTCTCTTTATTATTTTGTGAGTGATGTTGAGATAGGATAAGGGAGTAAGGTGCCAATATTTGCCGACCATACTAAATTGGTGGGGCAGTCGAAAAATATACCACATCAGGTGCATCAAATTCAACTTGACTTAAATAAACTAGTGAACTGGGCTTCTCTGTGGCAGATGCCATTCAATTATGATCAGTGTAAGGTGATGTGTTTGGGGAGTTTTAGCAGTGAGGGCATTAGCTTTAGATTGGGAGGCCGAAAGTTAGATCAGATTGAGGAAGACAAGGACAGTTTTGCTTTAGAGGGATTTAAAGGGCAAAAAACACAGTGGCGCTACTGGGAGCGAGGCACTTTGGATGCTGGAAGTCATTAACGGAAACGTCCATTACAGAAATAGGAATGTTGTCAAAAAGTTGTACTCAGCTTATTTCGGACCGCACCTGGAGTTTTGTGTACAGGCTTGGTCCCCATACTTCCAAAAAGACATAAATAGACCTGAAAAGCACAGCGAAAAGCAACTAGGATAACAAATGCAATTGGCGACGTAGAATTTACGGACAGGTTTAGGGTTTTTGAATTTGTACCCACTGAAATTGTAAAATTAGAGGGATCTGGTAGAGGTGCACAAGATTATGAAAGGAAAGACAGTGCAGATCTAAATGGAGCACTGGAAATTAGGCATAGAGGAAACCGGTCTCATGTAGTGAAAGGTAGGAATAGGGCAATGAAGAGACAGCTGTCTTTAGTCAAAGTGCAGTGGACCATTAAAATGGGTGAAAAACGAACTTGAGCGCAATAAAACGCAATTCGTTTGTTAAGCCATTTCAATCGAATTGTTAAGCCAATTCGATTGAAATGGGTTAACAAACAAAGTCTGAGAGAGCTTAACGATGTTTTCGTAGATAATCTAAATTGTCTTGAGAGCCCATCATAAGAATATGACACCCAGTTTCATTACTAATAAAAGACAGTCCATTTCTAGCTCAACCGATGTCCCAGTCCAGTTAGATGTGCCTACTGCTTCGGATTTAATTCCGCGTATTTCTGATTGTGAGGTACTAGACTACATAACTTAGTGCAGATATGCATAATAGCTACATCTCAGATATCATTCATTATCTTAATACTCTTAGGTCCGTGACAGGGTGCCTGCAATGTTTCTGTTCAGAATGTCGCACCGAAGAACATTTGTCCGAGGCGACGGCAAACTTCTGAGACCATTCCCTCGGGCATCTACTGCGCATTACATGCAGCGGAGATTGAGAGCAAGTACACATGCAAACGAAAGATGGAATGAAAGTACACCGCATTGCGGAAATCACAGCTTATCAATTCCAGCTAGCTACTTCTAGCTACTAAGCACAAAATTCCTCCCTCAGGCACGCGCACGTCGAGGGCGCTTCGCCTGGCCTAGAGATATTACGCAAGCACCATGGCGCATCCCCGCCCCCGTTCCCCGACACAGGCGCCCCCCGCGAACAGCGCGGGGGGTGAGACATGCGGCCGGCGCGGCGGGTGACGGTTTTGACAGCGACGTGTCGACCAAACAGGCCAGCACTCAGGCGCGATCCGGCGCCAAAATCGCACGTCCGTTTGTTGATGAACAGCGGTGAATTATCCGGTGGACGGGGTGCGAGCAGCTGGCGGCAGGCGGTCGGCCACCGGCGCCGCCGAGCGCCCATGTCGCCCGGCGCGAGTCGCACACCGTATAAACAGTGCCGCCACCTCTGTTAGGACACCCGGAGAATGCGGGCTGGGAGCTCTCGGCGCCCGCTCCAGGAACTGTGGCCGACCCGCTGGTGCCACGGTGGGCTGCGACTGACTCGCTGGTGCTACAGTGGGCTGCGACTGACCCGCTGCTGCTACAGGGGGCTGTGACCAACCCGTTAGTGCTACAGTGGGCTGACCGTTGGTGCCACAGTGGGATGTGGCTGACCGTTGGTACTACAGTGGGATGTGGCTGACCGTTGGTGCTACAGGGGACTGTGGTCGACTGTTGTTGCTACAGTGGCTCTCCCCAATAGCATTATTAGACATAGCTGGCCATGAGGTTTCCGCAAAGTACAACACGCCCCAAAAATACGACCCAAAATTAGCTTACTCCTCTTTTGTGGCGTGGGATTGAACCTATTGATTACCATCACGTCGATGGCATCTTACGGTAATAGAGCCAGCCACCTCTACGAATCATTTAGATGTTTCTGGTTGATGCAAAATGCATTCATTCAGCGCTAGTTCGTCTTTCATGAAAATATGGCACGAATTGATTCTCTGATGTACGTGTTCGCGTGCCAGTTGACAAATCAAGCTGTGACGCTGTTGTGAGTTACGCCTTCGATGTGCGGTGGCAGCGTATTGTGGAAGGTGCCGACATTACGGATGGCACTGGTCACACGCAACTGAAATGCTCGCCAGTGCAGTTTTAATGACAGTGTTGAAATCGCTGTACAAATCGTGGACGACACCGACGATCGACGAGTCCGCGCCGCGCAGCTGTTCCGTGTCTCTGCTTGGGCTGTCCAGGTAAGACACCAGCCCTTAGAGCGGCGGTTTGGGCTTTGCTAAAAAAGCAAGTAATCAGCTTGAGGTCGAGCCGCCATGGCCTGCTGCACGGCTTGACACACGCTTTTACCAGTACAGATACTTTTCTTCTCCGTCGCGCGGAGTCTTTTCTGCGTCGTCAGGCTATCGAGATCTGGGCCCCAGCTTCGATCCGCGTGTGCAGCTTCTCCGC